AAAATTATGTACATCAGCAAGCAGAGTAGAAAAAATCCACCGGTGAAACTTCCCCCAATCAAACCTCCGCTTGAATGTGCCATAGAATTGGATTGCAAAAAGTTGTCTTTTCTGCGGCTCACCTCTTACGCTCCAATCTAATCTATTAGGGAGATTAAAGATTAAATGTAGATTTTTATTCAATTAAAGAAGTACCGTGCGGAGTACTATAATTTAACAATTGGCCATTTCCTGAGCTTCGCTTAAGCAACCGGAAATTTTCCCTACGATGCCTATTCCATATTCAGAGTTGAACATCTGAAAACCAATTAAAGAGCAACAAAAAAACAGAAACCAACTCAAAACCTCGATATCAAAGCTAAGCATCCAATAAATGCTTAGAACAGATTTGCTTCTTAGACCGTGTAATCTTGTGCGATTTTAATTGTTTCGTCACTGTGGATGATGAATCACTTGTAGAATTTAGAGTTTCTTTTGTTTCCTCTAAGTGAAAATCTCTTAGGTTTGATTTTGCAACTGCTTATCATACCCTCGTTCACAACATCTCGATAGAACACCGCATGCAAACTGTAAAGTCCGCGAATATTTTATGGAATATTTTGATAAGGCAAATAGAAGCCCCGTTTTAGCTTCTAAGAAACGAAATCTTCCTTTCTCAGAACTGAACAACGGATGTCTATCACGGAATAGAAGTTGTCACTGTAATCCATTGGCGAGACATGACGAATAAACGCTGTCACATACGGTTGGATTGTGTTCACAAAACGGATTTCGTTTTTCTATCGATAACGGAGAAGTGAACATGATGATATTCAAATTGCAAACTTTAGGTCTCACTTTGAATTGACCAAAGTAAGGGTTATTAAAAATTGAAAAAATTCCATGACCTTCTATGTGTAACCAGGCTCTAGAACTTTGATCAAAAATGTTATTGTGTTGTGGTTTCTGTTTACTTAGTTGTGTTCTCTGTTGTTAATGAAGTCGTTCGCTCTTTTGCATAACGTGAACTTGCTTAATCTTTTGCAGCGGATTAGTAAGAAAGGTAAAAAAAACGCAAATATATACTTTAAATACAGTTTAGATGGATAATTAAATCCCTCTTGGTTAAACAAGAGTTAAATATTCGTTAGACTTCAACTCAATATGTCAATTTGATATTATCATTGTTATCAAATAACAATGAAGCTTTGACAAAATATGCCTCAGGTAACAAAATGGCCACGAAAAGCTTTGAATAATACTTGTTTTCAACGGTTTATATAGAAGATGTATAATAATACTTTTGTTCAAAATCAAACATTTCGAGTTTTGTTCCATGTTCTGAGAGTAACTGTTTTGGAATTTACCGAAAAGGAAACTAGTCAAAGGGCATGTTGCGTCTATGAATGCAAACGCTGTTCTCAGTCAATTTTCTGTGTCCGGCGTTATGAACAGATTGAGGAGGAGGTGGGAATATGGACTAAGAAATCAGAATTCAACCTTTATTCGATCTCTGAAATCTGAAAGTGCACAAAACTCAACCGAGGATAGAACGAGATATGAAAATAAGTTTCAATTAGATGATAATGTACAGTATTACAGAAACGGAACTTTCCCATTACAGGTAATGATATAGATCTTAACGATTTTAACTGCCCAATTGAATTAACTCTGGAATACTACTATGCGATATTTGTTTTCTGAATAACAGTCAGCAACATCACAAACAGAATTTTGAACCTCGCCACATTTATTTATTCAAGCGATGTATATTTCAAACGAAAGCTGTTTTCCCGTGTCAACGAATATATTTACTCATTACATCGATTTTTAGCTAGATTCCACGCTTTAGTTGGAGACATTTCATCAGTCCCTTAGCAAAGACATTTCTTAATATACTTCATACATTTCTTACCTTTTCTAGGAAGAGGCTGGCGATGTAATTCCGTGTCCATACATGAAACAAAGGGTCTCTCAGTCGGTCGGCCAGACCTGCTCTTGATAGTAAGACCTATCCCAAATTTGATCCAGATGACAAGAAAAGGATCACTTATCATAGACCTTCTTGATGTTTTCTACTAGAAAAAGCAAAATGAAATTGAGATCTGGGTAAGTAGAACGACTGCTCCAAACGAACCCTCCAGTAACGCGATGAGTTTGTCTCGTACAACTAGGAAGTGGTATTACTTTCACGCGCCCAGCAAATGATAACCAGCTGACGAACATGCGCGTCTCAAAATGTCAACAAGGCTTCTATTACATCCTAATGAATCTAACACGCAGAGTTGTTACCAACTGAGCAATTAGAATTCGAGCTTCGTCTTTGGAAGGTTTCGTTGCATACATTTTTTGAGACAAATGCTTGCCGCCGAGACTGAGTTGTTAATTCCGTGCGTACTTAGTCTCTTGTTTAAGTGGAGCGCTTGCACAACCCCTTGGGGAGTATTAGGAATACAGACCAGTTTTCGTCACAGAACAACTGATGACGCAACACACACACCATTTTCAATCCAAGGTCATTTGTCGGAATTTTTCTGATTATGGCTGTTAAAACACTGAAAAACCCGTATCGCTTAGAGACAGTGACGTTCAAACTTTCCTAGAAGGGAAAGAAAACCAAAAAACGACGTTTCTATCTTCAAGAACCTTCGGGTGACATCAAAAAGTACGCATATAGGCAGCGGTTTATTTCAAATAAAGCACTACTCAGTGCAGTCAGCAATGATTTTGTTGTTTGCATCAGGGACAGAGGCTAGTCGTTGACATGACTGTCAACTTCTTCCGTTAAATGTCTGAAAAATGTTGTCATGGTTATTAAGATGAATTTGTCCTGCGATGCTCAGCTCTTGTTAAAACTATCTATGCATTATAATGAGTCATACATGTTACTGTCCACCCAATGAGATCCGATGTTTCGCAAAAATTGAGAGCAAAAGTATGTTGTTCTTGCTGTCGAACCATGACAATGATGGTTTGTAATAACTCTACCAAACCAAGTCCAGTGGAAAATATCATATTATTTTTGGTCTAACTTGCATTGCATGAAATTCGATTGCGTGAACTGGAGTTTCTCTCCCCTCAAAATATGTAACGAATGATCGAAGAAATATAACGGTCTCTGACTAGGTAACTTAAAATAGCTAAGCTCGCCTTCAAAACAAAAAAGAAACATTGCGGCTTTTAATCAGTGGTTACGAAATAGAATTTCCTTTGATGACGACATTTGATGTGAAATTAAAAAATTCTCTACAGATTCTTTGCTGTTTCGAAGTATGAAACTTTGGCCGGTAATCTTATCAATATTTTGATTAGAAATGTGCAGGACGCTGAAGAAATAATTTCCGCACAGGTAAAAAAGATATTAACCTGCTTTTTATATACTCAAGCTTCCACTTCCCCTCCCCCCTCCCCCCACATTTACAACACTACAGTATGGCTCAGAGAACATGGCCATGAACCACAGAAACAACGAGAAATGGAGTGTCTCCTGTCTTCCAAAGAAGTGTGATTTCTTCATGACGTTTCTTTGGCCTTAAAGGGGATAAAAAGATTTAGCATTCAAGGAATAGCAGACAGACTAAGGTAAGAATCTTAATCGTTTATTCAGTAAATATCATCAATGATGCAATTATTGCGGAAATTTCAACATTCCCAATGGCTAGGAGAATGCTAATTATTCCCCAGTCGATCATAAAGTTGAAATTTGGCTCAAAAGTTGAAACATAGAGTGGTAATCAAATTATTTCTAAGACACTTTGGGATAGGCTCTCGAGAGCCCTCTGACTTCTACGTTTTTTTCGGTTATAATCGTTGCCAAATATACTCCTGCTGGTTGAATAAAAATTGCTCTCGAAATCATTTTGTAACATTATAAATGAGAAAAAATTGAAGGACGAGCACAAAAAAACTCTTAACTAGCCTTGTGTCGGCTTACTGAACACTGTGAATTTACAGCACACTCCTAACGCACTTTCAAAGTTGGATAAATACTGGGATGGTCTCCTCTGACGCATTTTCAGTTCAGAGGTATGTGAGCACCATTCAAGAGAAAAACCAGTGCAGGTCAATCAGTTTTGAAGCAAAACACATCTCTCGTCGTCTCTTTGTCAGCATAAGTTGTATTTACTGAGTCCAAAAGAGGATCACGTTGATTAATTCGTGATGTATGCAATTTTTCATGGTTAAAAATGACACAGAGAGGATATGGTTTGGAACTTAGGGGGGAGTAAAATTATCACCTGGTTATATTGATAAAAAAACAGCCTAAAAGGTCATTTCAATGCAAAGATACTTAAAAATCTCTTGATGACTTGCACCATCATTCGAGTGAGAACTCTAACCAGATTAGCATGATATTGACGTTGCACTCGGGTTTTATCATTGATAACATTTCATTCAGAGTACACCGCGGTCAAACAACATATACATGGAAAATTAAGGTTATGATTTTCTCTTTTTAAGTTTTGATACTTTACATTTATGCATCAACGTCGATGGAGTTTTTAGAGATTCAATAAACCTGTTTAATTCAAAGTCTTTCCGATTGCGTATCCCTACTGCGCACAATGCTTTGCGGATGGGTTGCGCGCTCCTTGACAAAATGGCGGCTGTTATTAGGGCCTGAACTCGCGCTCGGTTGATTTGTCATTTGCATGTGAACGAGCTCGGTGATCCCCTTTTCTTAAGTAGCAATATTTAATTTTTGATTTGTTCACGAAAAATATATTTTGAAGAGAAAGAAAGCTATGGGTTTTATAACTCATGGTAAAAGACGTGAAAATCTTCGTCTATGGGGTGTTGACTAAAGGCTCCATCCATTAGAAGTTTGAACGCGGCAAAGGGTAGGAAAATAAGCATATTCCCCTAACTGATTAACTAATTCGAGCATAAATCGATTGATGACTAGAATCCTGGTTCGAGTCCTTGAATAACTTGTAACAGGCTATCGCTTACACCATGTTTCGCTCGCCCATTTTTTCACTTTTCCTTTCAAATAAGTAGTTAGGCAAAGGCTTGTCCTTACACAATTTTAATTAAAGAAGCTCTACAAACATTTGACTTAATTCATCTCGTATGTAGCGTTTTCAGCTTAACACCAAGTATGCTATGTAAAAGGTCAAAAAGGCAACTTTGGATAGATCTGCATTGATTTTCGAGGCCTGGGTTCATCCCCTACAGCAAAACCAACACACACATATGATGATGGCGATGAAAACCAAGCATCCCGACACCGACAACCCGACCGTGATTTTGTATGAGCTTTTGTCAGTATCTGTATCTGAAAAGGAGAAGAAATATGATAAGCAATCAAAACATTTGATCCAGATCAACTGGAAAGTCATTTGAATGATCAGTTCAGTAACCGCTTTTCAAGCAATAAGATACATTTTTCAAAACATTTTAAGAATTTAATCTAAAATGTTGAACTCAGAGAGAAGCACTGAAAACTTTGAGTTGTCAAAATAAATTTGCTAGCTAATGCATTTAACCGGCAAAACGTTTCGTTGTACCTAATTAATAGGACAGCCCTTAAATCAGTTCCCTGAAACTCAGTGATCGAACTTTAAAATCCCCAATCAAAACATCTAGCAGCTATGTAAGGAAAAATATTGGCCATATGATACCAAGAGCCGATAGAGATTGCACCTGTGGTAACTGTGGTCTAAGCATAGTAAACAAGCAAGGTAAAGAATAGATCTACTTTGTTTTGAAAGGAAGGGGAGGTGATTACAGTTTTAGTGCTTAACTATTAAATTTTGCAGGATTAGTTCTTCGTAATAAACTGTCTTTCATGAAATAAAATTTCGACCGTAATATGTCCCCCTCCCCCTGCACAATTCAAACCGTCAACTGTTGGAACAAATTATGTTGTCAACAGTCATGCCTACCCCTTAAGATTCTCTCATAAGAAAAGCTGGATTCGAAGCTGCTATTTTCTTTTGCCAGGTCATCTCTGAAGTAGCTTTCAGGCCTTTTAAGAAACGCGTCGCCTATAACCATGCATACATTATACACTTAGTGTATGGTCTCGATGGAAGTAGCTAGTTTTATTTTCCTCGTCTCGGGAAACATCGGGAATTCAAGAAAATGAACGACACTTTTTAAAAACATGTTTCCACAGTTCTTCTGTCATCTTCAGCTCTGAATGATACAAAGTACAAAGTTGAATTTAAAGTGCGTAACAAAATGCTGATTGGACAAAACAAACAATAGTAATTAACAGAACAATGTATGCATTTACAAGGAAAGTTTTAAATTATATGAAATTATGAATTAGATTCAATAAAATCTAAATTAAATTAAGTTATATTAAATTAAATGAACTGAAGAACTAAAGACGACAGAAGAACTGTGGAAACATGTTTTTATCTGCTTCTATCCAGACCTTTTGGAAACATCAGGACTCGAGAAAAAACAAAACTAACTAGTTTCCCGAGGGAACATACATCAAGTTCTTTGTCATATATTTAGACCTTCCCTTAAACAATCATGTATGGCAAAAACAAACGTGCTTTTGTATTCCAAGCGCGGGCTACAACGGCGCAATTATGTCCTGGTCGGGATACATTTGAATTTGATCAGGGGCACGTGACCAAGAATCAACCAATCACAGTGCTCGTTTTGTTGAGTGAAAGTCTATGTATCTAACAAATGCAGTTATTCATATTTCTGTGTGGACTTTACCTTTCTTAGTGTTCTCATCGTCCTCACAGCAATCACCAGAATATCCTGCTTTGCATATACATGCTCCATTCATTAAGCTGCCTCCATTTAAGCAACTGATCTGAGGACAGGCTCGTGTTATTTTTAAGTTTAATCCACCGGAACATGTACCTCCACACTGCTCTGTAATCAGCCGGCGACGGGTGCTGGTCTGCTTACCCCCCACACCACACATTGTCGTACAAGGACCCCACTCTGACCAGGAACTAAGTTGGCAGTCAACTGGCCTGAGTCTACCGCAACGCCAAGTTTCCCCTACCAACGACATGAATAATTAGTTCGACAGGAAAATATTCCAGTTTTTCGAATAATTTTCGTAAACTCCGGTAACAGCTAGAGAGGATAAGGAAAGATGTTATTCGTTGAGACGAGGAAGATATGCGATCGTGTCGCGCATCTCTTGGAATCATACTCGGGAAAAACACGGTAGAAAATGAAGGTTGGAAAGCTCCCTATGAGAAGCTAAGTGTCGTGGCAAGTTCAAGCAGTCAATACTCTATTCGGTTTTTGTGTTGCGGATAGGACTAGACGCGATTGCATGTATCGACCATCAGTGATGCAGGCGTGGGTCACCAAAGAGTCTCTGTGGCCCAGTTTTTAATTGACACCAAGGACCTCATATTAAGCTATACTGTTCGAAAAGAAAAGACGGATTCCTTAGAATCTTAGTAAGGACCTCCTCTACGATGTGGAGTAGAGGGTTAAGCTAGGATAGTATTATCTCCGCGCACTAAGTCTGCATAAACAGATATCCTGTATTTAACAACAGGTATTATAGAGAAAAGAAGATGCGGCTACTTCTAAATCAAACGTACTGCACTGTTACGGTTGTAAAAAGGTCATGATTTTAAAAACCTGCTCCGTAGTCGTCAACGCTTTCTTAAAACTATAAAAGCAACACAAAGCAATGCAACAACATTAGCAAAAGTGAAAATGTCATGAATTTTCGTCTGTTACAAATGGTATGCTTCATAAAAACTTTGGATAACCTGTGTACTACAAGTTTCTGTCTCATTTCTCTGCACTGGACACAAAAAAAAAAACATATTATTTAACAACTGACCGATCAAAAGTTTTATTAATTGATGTGAACTTTCTGAAGACACGCACAATAGCTTTGGACATATGATGGTTTTCATCGACCTCTGAAGCTAAGGCAGTAACCTCTTAACTGTTAAAATTTGGCAAGACCACCTAACACGCTCTTCTGTTGTTCCACATCTTTGAACTGTAGACAATCATTTCCTTGTTGCGTTACACTAAGAGACCGGAAATACGTGAATAGGGAACCGTAAACTCGTGAATATGATCTTCGTTTTGTTAGGGAAAAAGGTCGTCTTAAATTTTCAGCTCATTAGTTGACCTGCAGATGTAATTGCGGAGATTTAGGTTTTCTAGAGTAAAAAAGATGACTTAAAAGGAAACGTGTGTTGGTACGTTTTCGACATTCAATACTACATACAAATATTTTCTTAAAACCTATCAGAAAATTTTAATTCTCTAGAATTTATTTTAACAAAAGCTGGGGGCGTGTTCAGTAAGAATTATTATTAGTCATACATACGAGTGCGCTTCGCCATAAACAAGTCCTGGAGGTTTGTTTTGGAAAATCTGCACGCATTTGCGCCTATTTTATGTGTGCAGATATCATACTAGCAGCATTTCTACGATAAAAGTCTAGCAAAATCTCTAATTCGTCATTGTAGTATTCCTTCAAGCTCGAAATTCCCTATGTGACTTACAAAATTTAACACGCGACGGATGCCATCAGCATCTCTGCACGCAACGTCTCCTTTTAGTCGGTCTCTCATAACATGGTTTTACTCGTCAAATTGTTCTGGTGCAACGATACTACTGACTGTAAATCGAGTGAAATAACCAGTCGAAATCAAAGATTACAACAGGCGTGTTTTGGGGCTCTTGGCATCAGACGCAGGCGCTGTCAATTTGCTTCCACATCTGAAATGAGGTCAAACCACAAATGACATTCCTTGCAACGAAGTTAACCACATTGCTTTGATTGGTCATGATATCAATCGATACGACTGGCTTACGTCGTTTGTATCATACCGCACATTCAGCTAAGCTCACCATCTAAAAAATTTTATTATGGGTCTTTTATCTCACAATTTCATTGTTTCTTTCTATCATTTATTGAACAATGAACTCATTTTTGTTTTTTCCTTAATCCGGAGTACAGTCGATTATTATAATAACCCACTCACTTAATTTAGCGTATTTTCCTCTGGGTTGGTTATTTTGTCTTACTGATGTACAGCCTAAGTGTAGCCGTACCCCCTTCCCCCCCCCCCGCCCAAAATTCGATTTCACTCCTACTTTCATATTTTTGTAGCCCAATATGCAATATGTCCTGATAATTTTGGTGTATTTTTTTTTGTGAAAATGTATTTCAGTTTTCGAGAAATTATTTTTTTTTCGTTCGACCACTCAAATATGCAAATTTTCATCGTAAATATTACCCGAGTTGTGTGACCTCGTGTAACGAATAAACTTGACCTCCGGTATTTCTGTCAACAAAATCCTTTGTTTTATCATCTAAACTTAATCCCCTGTCATTACTGGAGCTGGCAAAGAAACATTTGTTTTTTGGTAAATTTTTTTTGTCCGACATACTTTTCTTATGTCGAAAAGAAACATCAAAACAAAGACAGTTTTAACAATGACCGATAGGACAGAATCTACTGAGCTTCGAGCTTTTAAAAGACAAAAGGATAGTTAAAAAGTTTCTGTAAAAATTTCCTTGTGTAATTGTGTTGTTCTATCTTGAGACGAACTCAAAGTTCGGCAAAATTTACTTGCTAGCGACCATGAAATATGCTTGGTGTGCCTATTTGTCGCCACCGTTTACTGGCATAAATCACTACAATTTGTTTAAAAAAATGTAACATAACACTCTTACCTTGTTTATTTATCAATTTATTAGCTTTTTCGATTATTATACAACGCCTGGGTGTTACTTTTTGACAGGAGCCCAGGTTTTGCTTTGTGTTTTCCCCTCCACTGTTTACATCAAAAGCGAGTCACGCAATAATTTATACTGACACAAATGAACATTTACCCTGTAGAGATATTTTTGTTTAAGTTGAATTGAAAATATTAGAATACATGCCTTTTGTGGTCACTAATGGTTGTTTCAGTGGCAGCGAAGCAGTTAAAAGCGGGTTGTTGCTTCAATGCTATTGAAATTTATAGTATTTAGACAAGAGAGCAGAGCGTGATGCTCTGGCAATAAAAACTTTTACGTGCCTTTTACATGATATCGGAATAAGTTTTGTTCAAGAACAAGTTCATACCGGCTGCCACATGATATCTGGGTAAAGTTTATTCGAAACGAGTTATTTCTGAATGAGTTTATTGGGGTTTTCATTCCAGAACGAAACACTCATTTTTGTACCTGTATAATGTAAACGGTACGGTAAAGCGGTACGGTTCTTATATCTGTATGAATCCTCTTTAGGAGCGAGAGAAGCATAGAAAAAGACAGAAAAGGACACCTGAAATAAGCATTTCTGGGACGATTTTAATGATCTGACTTGAGCCTCTAGAGCACATCGATCAAGGAATTTTTATATTTGAGATTTTTCAATTTTTTGCTTTTGAATTAGTACTTTTTAGGGGTAGACACCAATTGTTGCCACTCTCACACAGATTAGACTCAGGTACCTTTAATAATTTCATAGGGGTCGTTTTCAGAATTCCCGGCGCGCATCCCCGCCCTCTTTTGTAAATGTGTACCCCGGAGGTGATGATACATGCAGCACACTTGAAATTTAGCAACGACAAATTTTGATGTGATTTTGGGTGAAGAGTTTTGTCCGCCTCAAGTAGCTAGTGCGGAAGGGCCCTTTACCACCGTGTGCATAATTACGCGTCCCGCTAAACAACGGGAAGCCAACAAAGTGCTCAAACATTAGTATAGAAAACTCCGCCTCTGTCAGGATTTTTGGTAGCCTATTGACCAATTCCCAATCGAGACTTAGGTCTAACTGGACGCGTAGTCTTTCTCACGGTGGTAAGTAGCCCACTTACCGGTGCCAGGCTATATGCATTTTCCAGACATCATGAGTACTACCTGTGATACACGCTTGCCAATTCCCCTAAAGGCTTTTGGAATCGACTTAACCTCACCAGTGCAATGGCCGGACACCTCTTTAGGCACTCTACATCTACTATTGGAAGCACAACTCTACCCAACATCTATGTGTGGGGCAAATTGTAAAATAATCGATATCTGTCAGCGTCTCGTAGATGCCGCCAAGCGACAAAATAAGATCAACATCATTTTCTGAATCTGAAAACTTGCAACTCCGCACGTGACTTGAAATGTCTTTTTTACAAGAGAACGACTTGAGATATGCAACTTCGGTCTTCTCGATAACTAAACCCTCAAGTTCCACCAGCGAACGATTTAAATGAACAGTAAATTTCCATGTTAGCATGTAAGATGAGACGCTTACACAACAGATAATTACCTAAATCAGTAGGTAGCTTGTCAATCAAATTGACTTTTGTAATCATTCTTCGACTCCGGCAAAGGAATCATTGAGGCATCTTCAGTTTTCTGAATGCGGTAGTTCCTGAAAGGTTTTTCTAGATATCATGCAAAGAGGAGAAAAACTCATCTCTTGGTATTTCGGAGATTGATACTTCTTTAAATTTATGTGTCACACTTGTCATGCAACTGATATAAAAAGATGGAGAAGATATAAAAACTGGAACTCAAATTTGGCTACAATGTGGTAGAGCATAACGTGATTATCGAAACAGCTCCTAAGATTATAAATAAACGAGGTAAGAGTGTTATGTTAGAGTTTTTTACAAACTGTGATTTATGCCGACAAGTAGACACACCATGTATATTTCATAGTCGCTAGCAAGTAAATTTTGCCGAACTTTGAGTTCGTCTCAAGATAGAACAACACAATTACACAAGGAAATTTTTATAGCCACTTTTTAACCATCCTTTGTCTTTGAAATGCTTGAAGCTCAGTAGATTCTGTCATATCGGTCATTGTTAAAATTGTCTTTGTTTTGATGCTACTATTCGACATAGGAAAAGTATGTCGGACAAAAATATTTACCAAAAATTAAACATGACTTTGCTAGCTTCAATAATGCCAGGGGATTAAGTTTAGATGATAAAACGATGGATTATGTTGACAGAAATAGCGGTGATCAAGTATATTCGTCACACAACTCGGGTAATATTCACGGTGAAAATTTGCATATTTGAGCGGTCGAACGAAAAAATTCATTTCTCGAAAACTAAAATTGTCAGGACATATGGGGCTACAAAATATAAAAGTGGGGGTGAAAGCACATTTGCGTGACTTGCCACTGTTTGTCTGATGCATGCTGACATTAGCTCTTAAGTCTCATAGAAGTTTAACACGCTTCAGTCTCTAAACTTCACTACTCTGTGAGCAAGTGATTTTGCCGAAGCGCAAATAATCGATTCATAAGCGGTTCGTATCTATGAGAATGCGCTCGACAGTTTCAGTTCTAAGGGCGCTTAAAAAACTTAATGATCAGATCCACGCTTGTCTCGATTAATTTTTCTTCCTTTTTGTAATACTTTGTAGACTTCACTGACATTTGCCCCATGGTGAAGAAATTATATTGAATACAACAAGTGAATTAAAATGTACCTCAACTTCTGTTAACACAAGAGACAAGCCTCCAGTTATCTAAGCATTCTGGGCTGAAAAATAAGCCGTTTTTGAGTCCTAATTGCAGTTTGAATCATGATGGACCGGCCTTTGAGGGGTAAGAGACAATATCACAGTGTGTTAGAGAAATGATCTGCCGTTCGAAAGTAAGAAAAAAACATGTTAATGTGCGGTGTCTCTGTACGAAGCGTAGACTCAAGTGATGTCTTAAACACAGACCTGTTTTGATTGTAAAGATATAAAATCATATATGAACATACAAACATTCCGATTAATTAATAATTGAGAGGTGCTTACATAATGCATATGTGTTTGTGTTAGTGCAGGGCTCATAGTTTCTAGTTTTCTAGAGCTAGTTACCTTGCAGCTGGCAGCAATCGCCAGAAAACCCTGCTTTACAGAAACATGCTCCTCCTTTAAGAGTTCCTCCATTGAAACAGCCGGTAAGTTGGCAAGATCGTGTTCTTGTGAGGAAAGATGAGCATGTACCGCCACATTGTTCGATAGTTATTCGGTGGCGGGAGCTGGACTGTGTTCCTGATATGCCACAAGCAGTTGTACAACCGCTCCATTCTGACCAGTAGCTCAGTTCGCAGTCAACTGCTCTACTACCATAGCACTGCCGAGTTTCGAAAAGGTTGTCAGGGCAGTCTTTTCCACCACAGGATGGCTTTGATACTATCATTCTTGATCGACTTCGATAGCCTTCCTGCCCACATCGGTCTGCAGTGCAATAACTCCAGTATGACCAAGAAGTGATATCACAGTTTTTCACTGGGCATCGACGGCGACGGCGTCTTCGCCAAGCGTCACAGTCAGAAGTTAAACAGAACCACACCAGCAGTATTACAACAATGGAAGTCTTGGCCGAAAACATCTTTGGTATACCTTATGGAACTACCTTTCACGGTTCTGAACAAAACAAACTAAGCTCCATATAAGGAAGTAGACGAGCCCAACGCTAATTAAACTGGAATTCGGACTTTGCTTGCGAAAGATCACGAGGAAGTCAGACCACAACTGAATGACGAGAAGAAGCCGACGGCACTTCAGAAAAACCAAGAATGCTAACGGCACTCCAGTAGAACCAAACCACTTGTGGCGTACTTCCTACTTAAAACAAATACATCAGCAAAAATTAAAATCAACGTCATTTGAAAGGAGTGATAAAAAAGTGTCTGTATCATTGTTTATCCCTTTAAACTTACGTTGAGAATATGATATATTCAACTAATGCCGTGACTGTTTTTTTGAACCTTTAATCTAGCTAACAAGCGCCGAATAATCCGGGTATATGACGTCATGAACAAAAAGGACGCCTACATGAAAGAAATTGCTCTCTGAGGAGCATTTAGCCTCATTTTGAAGTATAAGGTTGTTTAAGGGTGTGCTGAATTTCTTTTTTCGCGTAGTTTTCTTCGTTGTTTTATTTGAATTTGCCGGTTTTTCTACCAGCCTGAGAGCTCTACAGTTTATTTCACAAGCACTTCATATTTAGAATACACAACTGACTATGCAACGTCAACGTGAACTTAACGATCTTCTATTTTAATGATATATTTTAATGAGCTATTTTAATTAACGGTTTTAACACATATTTTAGAACATTTTATCACGCCATTAGTTTTCATGCGTCCTACTGGCTAGTTTTACACTATGCTAATTTACAGTGGCACCTCCAACGTTTAAAACCATAGCGCAAATATTTTATCGTCCTCCCTGATGATGCCGTAGAACGGCGAAAGCTCGGAGTGAATAAAGAAAGAAGGAACGACAGTAGCACTTAAAGGCTTCATTTGATCAATATCCCACATCATTACGACATGCTACTAAAGGACATGTTCAAACGCAATACAAACTATTTGGCCATTAAAAGGAAGCTCAATTTTTTTGTTTGTCTATTTGAATATCTTTTTTTTTGTTTCGCTTTGTTGCTACGTTAATTACTACATTCTTGTTATTTCCTTTACTTTTTAATAATAATAATAATAATTATAATTATTATATATCATTTTTTTTTCCATTGAAAAGTCAATGATAAAAAAATGCCCTGCATCTTCGGACGAAGACTTGCACCAGATTCGAACCGATCATGATCTTGTTAGGTAAACGACTGCATGGTCGTTTGTACTATAGCAGTCTTGTTTGGGTAAGAAACTTTATCTCGTATATTTGTAAATTACATTCATGATGTACTTGTGAAAACTGCAGCCAGCTCAATGGCTGAGAGAACGCAAATTAATCCCGAACAAATTATAAAGTTGAAGTTGGGCGCAAAACAACTTGAAACTGAGTGCTGAAAAGTTGAAATTAAATTCATTTTGTATCGAGAGAAATCAAATTATTTCTCAGACAATTTGGAAAAATTAGCACTCGAGCATCACTACCCTTCCTTGACACTTTTTGATCTTTGCCAAGTTTACCCGTGTTTGTTTAATCCCAGTTGCTCTCAAGATCATTTGATTAACTGATAACTGAAAAATGCAGTTCCCCAAAAACACAAAGCAATTCTTAACTAGCATTGTATCACTGAGCTCATTGAGCACTGTGAATTCATATGAAACTTCTTTGAACTCAAGCAGATTCCTAAAGCACTTTCTATGTATACGTAGGGTCAACACTACTGGTCTGCTCGAAAGTGACACCATTTTCAAACTGGAGGCATATTAAAGATTTCCAGGAGAAAAGCCAGTGCGAGCACCTCAGTTCTGAAGCAAAAACCTTTTACGACGTTCCTATGTTGACACAAGATGTCTATGAATGTGGCAACAACCGATTGCAAAGTAGAATCACCTAATACATTCCTTGTTGTACTATTTCTAAAACGAAAGCGAGTGTTTCATCGGGGTATCCAAACACCGAGAAACAAATGAAAGTGCGAGGCTGTAGGCGAAGTGCTTTAATTGTTTCTAAACGGTCGTGTAGGGTTTTCGAAGAATGGAAACAGAATCGATTAGTGAAGTCCTGTGCTTTGGAACCTGGAGGCCTTTTTACCGCGAGAGACTTCGAAGAAGGAGTACAAACTTTGGACACGGCCTTTACAGATATGTCTCCATGCAGTGGGAACTGCTGGCTGTCAAGGTTCGTTCAAGAAGTAAGCAACTCTTCTAGGGAACGCTATCCTTCCCGTTCGTTGGACTCAATCATTTGGGGAATGAAGCGCCACCTTCCTGATGTAAATGGAAGTGCTGCATTGAACCCTTTCATGTCCGACCGCAGGTAAGTTACATTTTGGGGGATAAAATTTAGTTCGTGTAAAGTACTTGTGTGTATTGTTGTCTTTAACACTACTTCTTTTCTTTCGCTTTGTTAGGTTTGTGAATTTTTCTATTTTCGAATATCAAATGTCAAGTTTAATGATTGTGAGGTAAATGTTTTTGTTAATGGGCTTAAATAAGATAATGAAGCATTGTGAAAGTAAGGTTACTTGTGAGTAATAAATATGCATTGATTTTTTGCAAGTTGTCATTGTGCATATTTTAGTGGTATATACCACTCTCCAGCGAGAGTGGTATGCTGCAGTTTTTCATTGGGTATCTAAACACATGCATGTGATGTGGTATACATTTTGTGGTTGGTAGTTGACCTCATGAATTTTTAATGAGTTTGAGAAGTATGCAGTAAAAGTGGCACCATTTTCCAAGGATGATATATAAAAGAGAAGCCCTCTGAGTAAAAAAAAAAAAAAAAAAATATATATATATATATATATAAAGTACGGGTTTGGAACTTACAGCAGAGCATCCCAAAACAAAAATATTACCGGGTACCACCTGAAAGCTACGCTTCGATAATAAGAAGGTTGTGGTTTAAACAGTTTTTAAGCGAAAGTACTTTAACGCCTCGTAAGGACTCAAACTAAAGTTGGCAGTCAACTGGCCCAAGTCCACCGCAACGTCAAGTTTCCCCTGCATACGACATATATAACTAGTTTGACACTCTTGGCAACGAAGTCAACCTCATTGCTCTTCAGTTAGTCATGATATCAATTGATACGACTGGCTTACGCCGTTTTTAAATAGCACATCCAATTAAGCTCACCATCTGCAAACTTTTAATGTGGGTCTTCCATCTCGCAATTTCAGTTGCTTTCTATGATTTACAGTACAATGGACTCATTTTTGTGTTTTTCTAAATCCAGTGTTCAATCGATTTGTTATAATAATCCACTCGCGTATTTTCACGTATTTTCTTCTGGGTTGGTTATTTTGTCTTATCATGTGGAACCTATACAATGTAAATTTAGAAGATCTGTTTCAGCCCCAAAGGGCCGACTTAGCTCTATGGTCTTGAAGCTAATGTGACCCCTTCTAGGGCCAATTTATCATCTGGGTCAAAATCTACTTCAATAAAAACCATTTCAGCCCTTAAAAAAACTATTTCAGCCCTACCAAGAACCATTTTTGCCTAAAGAGGAAATCAATTCAGCCCCTTGGTGAGAATCAGCCCCTTGGTGAGAATCAGTCCCCATACCAAGAGCCATTTGGTTCCGCAGTCGGTCAGTTGACCCAAATTTGAAGCTATTTCAGCACTGTTAACTCTTTATGGTAGACTTAAAAAAAATGACAAATGATGGTAACCTTTTTTCTTTTATTTTTTTTTGTCAACAGTATTTACACTAGTGATTAGTGCTATCTCTCATTTGAGAAAGGACAAAATTAGCTTTTCAGAAAAAATATATTTTGCCTCCAAAAATCCATAGATTTTAAATCATGCTAAGAAAATGGCATACGATTTGCATAAATTATTGTACAACTTTTGACTTTGAAACAGCCTGGGCCTGAATGGATTGGAGTTAAAAGGAAACATTTCTTGGATAAAATATTCCTTATCTTATGGGTAAGACATCCAGAGACTCTGGCTGAAAAAGAACAAATACGGAATTAATTAGAATTTTTTTCAAAACTGTACCCCAAAACCATAAAAATTGACCCAGATTATTGAAAAATTTATTCCTCACCAAGTATTTACACAAGGGAAGTAAGCTATACCTCACTTGAAACAGCAGTAAATAAGCTTTCCTGAAATGCATGTTTCCTCTCCAAGAAAAAGGAAACAACCTCATTGAATGCTTTCAAACTAACATTAATTAGCATAAAATATCATCAAAATTTGAACTGTGAATTAAGTGATACCCAAATAATATAAAGTAATGAGGCAAAAAGAGGTTCCTTGTTACATGGGCAACATCTCCATAAAAAAAAATTGGTTGGAAAATAACAAATCTGAGATGTGTTACACATATTTAGTGAACACTGATTGACACACTGACTAATTAGTCTGACCTCATCATCACCCCAAGCCCAAATTTACTAATCCCTCTTGAAGTCTACAGTGCAATCATTGGAACTATATTTCTTTGTTTGACTTCTGAAATTTTGCCTTGAAACAGGGACAAATGAGATAATCAACCTCAAAATACATAAAGCGCAACATACATCAAAAGCCTTTCACTTGCAATGCACCACCAGTATTTTCTAGAGTAAACAATTCAGAAGTGAAACCGGAAACTGTCATTTTATATCATTCCACTCATTCTTGAGCATAATTTGTTTGTTTTGTGAATTTCCAGCATGTAACAAGTAGAACCACATCTAAAAAAAATACAAAACATATAAGATAATGTACAAGTCGATATATATTCAACTATCGTTTTAAAAATAAAAGATTTTATTTGATTTAGTTCGGACGCACACTGCGTCATTCGATCTGGGCTTATACTATTTTGCGAAACGAAACGAAATCAGGTGAGATAGAACAAAACTAAAGGAATAATGCAGATATATTTTCTAACAACGTAAAGAAAACTTTCACAAGGAATTTGGAGTAATCGTTCATTAACAAGAAGGATTTCTATTCATTTCGCAAAATAGTAATTTTAGGAGAGTTACTATTTTGCGAAATGGAATTTTTCACTCTGCGGTGACAACGTGACCTCTTCCATGTCACAAAAATACATTTAAACATTACAAATTAGTATATCACCGAAGATTTTGGCCTCCTCTTATTTCTTAAACCGTATGAAAATGCATTTCGCAAAATAGTAATTTTAGGAGAGTTACTATTTTGCGAAATAGACAATTTTTACCCAGCGGCGACTAACGTAACCTCTTTTATGTCATAAAAATACATTTAAACATTACAAATTAGTATATCAACGAAGATTTTGGCCTCTTCTTATTTCTTAAACCGTATTAAAATGTATTTCGCAAAATAGTAATTTAAGGAGAGTTACTATTTTGCGAAATGGACTATTTTCACCCTGCGATGACAACGTGACCTCTTTCACGTCACGAAAATAGATTTAAATATTACAAATTAGTATATCACCGAACATTTTGGCCTCCTCTCATTTCTTAAACCGTATTAAAATATATTTCACAAAATAGTAATTTTAGGAGAGTTGCTATTTTGCGTGACCTCTTTCATGTCACGAAAATACATTTAAACATTACATTATAGTATATTCTCAAAGATCTTGGTCACCTCCTCTTTAATGAAGTAATTTCTAAACTAATTGAATGTAGTTATTCCGAAAAATGTTTATTTTGCGAAATGGATTATTTACACTCGGCGGGCGGGAACTCGAGAATAAGGGCGAAGGGATTGTTGCAGATTCCCTTGAACTTCACAATGTTTGGATGTTTCAACTCTTGAATGATTCTTGCTTCCTTTACAAACGTTTTCTTATCCAATATGTCCTCGCCGAGCAATTTCTTAACGATGACTTTCTCCGCAGCGGCCGATTTCCCACCCGCATCAGGAACAGTCTGCCAGTTAGCAGTGAACACAGCACCATAAGCGCCCTTACCAATGATTTCCTTGTTTGTCAAACTCTTGAAATCATGAACTGGAAGACCTGAACAGTCGATGGTCTTGGGCTTAAGAACAGGAAATTTAAAAGTCATAATCTTGCCTGATTTAGCAGCACACAAAGCGAGCACAAAGCAAACTTCTTGCAGCAAGTGGAACTTGTGCAAATGCGAAACACGATCTCTTGTTCGTAAGGAAGAGGTGTGCGACGGGGGTGTAATCAGAAGCGCGTAACTTTTCCATGTATATTATTTTTATTAAAAATTTTGAAGCAAAGTAACTGTATTACCGAACCCTTCGAGAATATACTATAATAAAATGTTTAAGCGAATTTTTGTGACCCGAAAAGAAAGTTATTGAGGGGTAAAAATAGTCCATTTCGCAAAATAGTAACTCTCCTAAAACTACTATTTTGCAAAATAAATTTTGAAACGGTTTAAGAAATAAGAGGAGGCTAAGATGTTCGGTGATATACTAATTTGTAATGTTTAAATGTATTTTTGTGACATGAAAGAGGTCACGTTGTCACCGCAGGGGTGAAAATAGTCCATTTCGCAAAATAGCAACTCTCCTAAAATTACTATTTTGCGAAATATATTTTAATACGGTCTAAGAAATGAGAGGAGGCCAAAATGTTCGGTGATATACTAATTTGCAATGTTTAAATGTATTTTCGTGACGTGAAAGAGGTCACGTTGTCACCGCAGGGTGAAAATAGTCCATTTCGCAAAATAGTAACTCTCCTAAAATTACTATTTTGCGAAATATATTTTAATACGGTTTAAGAAATAAGAGGAGGTCAAAATCTTCGGTGATATACTAATTTGTAATGTTCAAATATTTTTTTGTGAAATGAAAGAGGTCACGTTGTCACCGCAGGGGTGAAAATAGTCCATTTCGCAAAATAGTAACTCTCCTAAAATTACTATTTTGCGAAATATATTTTAATACGGTTTAAGAAATAAGAGGAGGTCAAAATCTTCGGTGATATACTAATTTGTAATGTTCAAATGTTTTTTTGTGACATGAAAGAGGTCACGTTGTCACCGCAGGGGTGAAAATAGTCCATTTCGCAAAATAGTAACTCTCCTAAAATTACTATTTTGCGAAATACATTTTAATACGGTTTAAGAAATAACAGGAGGCCAAAATCTTCGGTGATATACTAATTTGTAATGTTTAGATGTATTCTCGTGACATGAAAGAGGTCACGTTGTCACCGCAGGGGTGAAAATGGTCCATTTCGCAAAATAGTAACTCTCCTAAAATTACTATTTTGCGAAATATATTTTAATACGGTTTAAGAAATAAGAGGAGGCCAAAATCTTCGTTGATATACTAATTTGTAATGTTTAAATGTATTTTCGCGACATGAAAGAGGTCATGTTGTCACCGCAGGGTGAAAATAGTCCATTTCGCAAAATAGTAACTCTCCTAAAATTACTATTTTGCGAAATGAATAAAAATCCTTCTTGTTAATGAACGATTACTCCAAAATCCTTGTGAAAGTTATCTTTACCTTATTAGAAAATATATCTGCATTATTCCTTTTGTTTTATTTCATCTGACCCGATTTCGTTTCGTTTCGTTTCGTTTCGCAAAATAGTATAAGCCTTCGATCTGTCATCGGCTGATAATTTAGGTCGTTGCGTTTTAACATTCCATTGATGATTATTTTCTCTGTCACTCAAAAATCATGTTTGATCGTAATATATGTTGCTTTTCATTCACAAATATACATTTACAGGTTTGTCTCAAGGCAAAAAACAAGGATTCGTGCGCGAAAAGTAAAAGTAAATGTTTCAACACCACATGCGTCACGCATTTAAATATCGCAAGAATGTTTACAGATTACTTACCTCGATTCTTCGCTAGGATTTTCCAGTTTTCTATCTAATTCGGATTCCTCACCACTAGAGATACCACCATACTCACTTCCATCGTCAAAAATTACCTCTAAAGCTACAGCTACGCTGTATCTCTAGCGTTTCGCATCGGACGCCATTGTCGCAGACTGAAATCGTACGGCAGAAATTTTTTTTGGGATCACTTTCTGAAGGACCTTAGAAACCAGGCTCAACTCAGTAGCCAAGCCTACTGAATTTGTGCCCAAGCCTTTTCTTGCTTGCGTGACCTTTTTTGTCACACTAGAGAATACGAGGAACTTCGGCGAGTAGTAAACACAAGCTCAAATTTTTAAAGCAGTAAAGAGGAAAACTTTTTGAGACTGAAAGGTAAGTAAGGAAGTTTTTTAGTGTTTTACAACCTAAATTTAGTGTTTCCTTTTGTAATTTTACAACGTACAGTAAATTGTCAAATCAATAACTCGAAAAGCTTACAGCTAAAATTAAACTCTTTATTAATAACCTTATACTTTCTTGATCTGATATCTCAATTAGCGATAACACCAGAAATAATTTGCTTTTGTGGTATATACTATATGTTTACCTAACTTGTTGAAGTACGTTGTCATGAAATAATGCACTTAGCAACAATTAATCTGATTACGCAAAACTGAGTCAATGTTTAAATTGTTCCCTGGACTGCCTGGACTGCCTGGACATCTGAGGCAACTGATAATGCATTTTGGGAGTGGTAGGGATGCTTACTTCATAGTGGCTATGGCTGTACCTGTCCTTTAATTTGCCTTGTTGTTTGTAATAGATTTTCCTTGCATTGTCTGTTATTTTTTTTCAGGAAATTTTAGTCTGCAAGAAGAAAATTCTTTTACAGAAGAATCCTTTTCCTGTAACGTTTACAACTGTTGCTTACGTTTGCCATATTTCTGATATTTTAATCATAACAGAATTTTTCACAAAAATTATTTGACATTGAATTCTTATACAAATACTGCAAGGTCAAGCCTGCCCACCAACCCATCAAGGTGGTGTTGAAAACTGCAGTAAGGTCTATTGAATATAGTTAAAGTACTGAATTTCACTCCATGACTTACTACTACAGAATATGGGGCTTTTTATGATTAGGTACCAAACAAAAAAAATGCTTTCTTGGCTTATTTGCATCAAGCCACCTAATATAATTCACAAAGATTATTTGACATTGGATTCTCGTACAAATACTGCAAGGTCATGCCTACCCACCAACCCATTAAGGTGGTGTTGAAAACTGCAGTAAGGTCTATTGAATATAGTTAGAGTACTGAATTTCACTTTATGACTTATAATTACAGAATATGGGGCTTTTTTATGATTAGGTACAAAACAAAACAAAAAAAAAAAAAAAGCTTTCTTGGCTCATTTGGATCAAGCCACCTGATATAATGCAATCAATGTCTTGTTTTCTGTATCATGAGTCATTGCTCAGTTGGAATTGATATTTAAATCTTAATTATAATCATTTAAATCCAACTGAATGTATTTCTTTCATTACTTTTCCACTGACTGCCAAACCAGCAAGCCTTGAGGCATTAAACTGTGAGGACTTTAAAAAAGGCCCTATATTGTTTACATGTAGCTGCTTTGGGGGAGGGGAGTGGTAAAGTTTCAAATTTGGTTAAGAGTATGTAACACAATAATAATAATGATAATAATGTTAATAATAATAATAATAATTCATTTTTTTCTTCCTTTGTTGCAAACGCATCTGACCCAGAGCCATTATTGGAACATACCAGAATAGCCTTTTTGTTAATGAAAGGCCTCAGTGGTGCACAGATATGATATGAAAATAATTTTCTCTTGTGTGAGGCATCAGTCAATTTAGGAATTACCAAGTGTAAAATTTCAAAAAAGTCAATATGGTCCAGAAACTACTCATTTTTGTAGAGGGTGGAGCAGGGAGGGGTGGAGGGGTCGAAATTATTAGGTTTGCGTACCGTTTTCACTCTTTGCACCCTGAACACTCAGTCATGCACACTTCAGATGGATGCTCAACACAACAGCGTCAAAAAATAATCAAGCAAATAACTAAGACGTGAATATAAATTTACCGCCATAAACAGTGAAAAGGCCTTACAGATTTTACACGTAGCTTCTTTGAAGGTACAACTTCCTATGACGTTCTAACATGATTATCAAGTTGTCAAATACGTATTTTCATATGATTGATACCAATTGCTTTATTAAGTCGAAATAAGCTTAATGTCAAGAATAAATAAGCGGATTACTACACTTACGACGAATTTTGTGGTCCGTTAAAAAAAGTACTTGGTTCAATTACGTAGTTCACCGAAAGGTTAGTTTTGTTTGTCTGCTAGGATTTCTTTTAACATTGAATACATTTTCAAGACCTGTACTCGACGTGGTGCACTTCTTGCGATTGTTCTGCAATCTAGCGAGTCCTTCGGAAAAACGTCACCGAGAGCAGAGCTAAGACAATATTCAGAAGCAAATATTTCCTAGGTTTGAAATTCCCTTCGGTTCCATTTGACCGTGAGTAGAGTTTAGAATTCACGAAGAAAGCGTATTTTAGCCAAAGGCAGAAGATTCGTATTTGAACGGAGCGCAGCGAGATAAGGTAATATTCTTTCACGCGAAAATTAAAAAAAAAATAGGGTTAATAGATAACTTCTCATTTGTTTTTTCTCGCGCAAGTAACAAAAATGTTCCCTTCCCTGTCCCCATCCAATCGCACTTCAACCAGTCGGGGGAGGTGAGTATAGAATTGTTAACAAATCATCAGAAGGCTTGGTTACCTGATTGAGCCTGGTGTCTAAGCTCCCTCAGAAAGTGATCCCAAAAAAAATTTCTGCAATCGTACGCGAGTAATTTTCGGATCGGGCTCCTGAGGTCACGTTTGATAGTGCTGAGCTAAACCTCGCCATGTGATTGGCTTAGAATGTTTACATGCTACAGCCGAAATTTCAGAGCGATCGGATGTAATCCGAGCATTTCCGAAAAGGTCAAAGTCATCGTGCAATTTTGCACGCACGGCCCCAGGGCTTCTTAATGGACCGTTTTTGGCCTCAAAGGGCAGAGCCATTTCGATCCAGAACATTCAACATTATCAGCTCTGTATAATTTGCAATTCAACTAAATCAAACACAGCAAGGTTTCCATTGAACGAATAAACGAATCAATCAAAAAATCCATACATACATCAGCTCTATTCAAATACAACAACTTATATACTTTCTACTTAACTCACAGCTTTCAAGCTAAAAATCTTATTAAAAGACAAAACCTTTTATCGGTGTCACAAAAAGTATTTTCCCTCCGTGATGGATGGTAAATTTCGATTGCGCCGTTTCTCCATCGGAAAAAAAAAATTGCATACCACGAGACAAACTTCAGAGAGGCCGAAAAAGCCTCATTTGACAGGTGGTTGTTAGGTTATTTGGCCGAGGGAGTAGGTTTCCGGCAAATCAGATCCCAAATCCAAAATCGGGTCTTTCGACCTCGCACTGATTCCGAAAAAAAAATTCCCATAATTCCGTTTCCCCTGAATTTAGCTAATTCTTATTGCTGGCCACTAATTTTTATGCTAGTGTAAGCAGATTGCTCGCTTTCCCGTCCACGACAGCTGTTGTGTTCAAGGACGCTAAGTAATTATTAACAAACAAAGCTGTCTACTGTTGGCCATTTCTCTGAAAAAATTAATATATCGGGTTCTGTTTGACCCAAAAATAATTAAGTGGCCGTGGAATTAACTTGTATAGGCATCCCGTCTTTCTGAAGTAAAACTCATTTGGAAAGTTGAAAGGAATCTAGGTGAAAAATGTATCAGACAGTTTAACAATTGTCTTGTAGAAAAGGTAGTTTGATGATTAATTATATTAAACCGGTGATTACTGTAAAGACCGTGTAGAAGAGTTAGAACTCTTTATTCGATCCGAACTCCTCACTAAGATCAGCATAGGAGGTTCTTCCCAACAAAATTGTTCAGTTGATTGTTGAGTTCACTCGCTGAAGGTATGATGTCATATTAATGTATTTCTTGCTACTTTGAGGAATTAAAATAAATCTATTTGCCCCAAATAAAAAAAAATTTATGTTCCAAACTTTGCTATATTATTAATATTTAAGTAAGGTACCAGATTCATTAGTACTGAAGGGCAGGAGCCCATTAATTATATTTGTAATGGGTTCCTTAGGGGGGACAGGGTCACAGCAACCGAAACTGACTGAGCAACAATCACAAGACTATCTGGTGACTTTAAAACCAATAGACTGTTCTTTGCGCAAGAGCCGCGAGTTTTTATTTTATTTTTAAATATCAAAATTAAGTCTCCAGCGATCAGTATAAGACTTGAAATATTTGGCGAGTTCGTCCTATTTGTCTTCAGACCTGACACTCTCGGCAAATTTTACCCTCCTCTTCTTTTCGTTGATTTGCTTACGATTTTTTACGATTTTTATCCTGCCCTCGCCTTTGCGAGAACTCAACGAATTAAAAGCGTTAATAACTAATCATTTAAGATTTAATTTTTGACAATAAATCACAAAACTTGTCTGGTTTCTATTTATCACAGTTCTCTTGTAAACAAAGCTCGACCTAGAAATCGACCCAAATATCAACATACGTATATTTTCATACTTCTGCACATTTCCAAGGAGACAAATCCAAACTTTCCTGGTATGCCTCACTCGACACCCTCTTTCCCTTGTTGGCTGAAGTTTACGGGTTCGTCTCTAGCCCCACCTACTCAAAGATTTGCTTCGCAGGTCCGATGTGCCCTTTTAAATTTAGGGAAATCCACTATACGATGATCTTAATCCAAGGTTGCACTTTACGCTGACACCATACACTAGAAGTGCAAGGCTAACTCATTGAAATCACTAATTAGGTGGTCAATCAGTTTTGCATTGTTGAATAGTCCTTTCAAAATATAATTGCCGGAAATTGAAAATGACACACAGCAACGCTAGGTTTTCCAATAAAAATTGATATAATTGTAGTTGTAAGCCTCTTATTGGTCAATATTGTTCACTTACCTCGATCTCCTTGTACTTGAGTAGACATACTCCAATCGTATTTGCAAAAGCGCGGAGTTACGGCCCACGTGCTCCTGATTAAATTCACCAATTTTTCTCTTGCACCTTTTGTAGCTGATTATCTTGACTGCAGTGATTTGGTTACAATTTGTTTGAATGTCAGTAAATGTCGCTTTTATTTTCCGGATTTAAAAGAAAGAACAAGATTCAAGAACCTTATAAAAATGTCTACATAGGAAATGGAGGTCAGTATATTTGTTCCATATAACTTTTTTCCGCCAGTGGAAGAAAGCCTGGTAATAGTTTCCTGGCCTGGTTGCGCATTGGTTAATTCCAGAGATCTTTGAGAGCTCATCCTTAAGCGCGCATGTCAGACAGTTTAGGTGGGAAGCGAAACAGCGGCAAAATGAGTGCGCATGTTTTTAATGCGCGCGAAAATTTACAAGCAGAAAGAAATGGGAATATCGGTATTTCCATAGCAACGCTATAGCGGCGATGTGGCGGCATTTTTAAATTTCATATTGTTTGTTTTTATTTCGCGGGGATAGGCCTTAGCATCAACAGATGGGGTTCCCATTTTCAAGAAAGTTTCTTTCGAACCAGCTCTGCAACATATCTCCCCCAAAAAAAAACAAAAAAAAAATTGGCCACGGGTGTTAATTTTAGCATTGAAGTTGAGCGTTCTTAACATGGCTACGAACTTCGTAAGCCCGTGTTATTGTTATGGCACTTGTTTGTGTCGTCTCTTCAGTAGGCAAACCGCCCGGCGAAAATGTTTGTTGTCTGAGAGAAAAAACACGCCATAGCTCTGCTCGTAAAGGAAGAATAATTGCCTTAAACACTGAAATGGTAGAACGAGGAAATGTTGTGTGTGAATTTCATTATCAGCAGTTACGAAAAAGGACCAACACCTGATCGTGCCCGCCACCTTCGCCTTTTTCCACTCAGAGTGATACACCCATTACCACGAGACTGGAAAAAGTAAGGTTTGTTATCGATCAAGGACACGGTGGTGCACAAGTTTTCGGAAAAACGTCAACAAAACACTTGCCACGAAGACCACCTATAAAAAGTCAGGAGAAAAAACGTTAGATATATTGAAAGGCTGTCATCTCCTACTGCATATTCTAGGTTTACAAACTTCATCCATTTAAATAATAAACAATAAAATAAATGATGACATAATTCTCACCCTGTGTGCACGAGAAGATCACTAACTTAAAGAAAAATAATCATGCAAAATGGAGATGGAGTGCTATGCAAAATTCAGTTGGAGTGCAACCAGACTCCATGGATGGACAATGTGATTAATAAGTTGTAGACAGTGTAGCTAGTTGAACCTATTGTAGACAGTGTAAGTAGTTGTACCTGCTGTAGACAGTGTAGCTAGTTGTACCTACTGTAGACGGTATAGATAGTGGTACATGGTACCCACTGTACAAAGTTGTAGCTACTGTTACACAACGATGTGTCTTACATAAATGTTCCGCAGAATGGCTCTATGGTGACAGAATAATACAGCCTACACGAACAATCTTCAAAGTGACTATATGTTGTCCTACCATGCTGTTTAAACCGCGTCGCGGAAAGATTTAACAGATAGTTTATTGCGAATATCATACTGTGCATTTCGCTAATGACAATGATTTTTCTACGAAGGAGAGTCAAATTGTGGACACCCGATTCCCTCGTGTGGATCGTTTGCGCTGATTGCTTTCTGCAAGGGACTTTGCATCGCTGTGTGGTTTTAATCCTGATTTAACTTAACAGAAATCAGCTTACATTACATATTTACTACAAAGATTTTCTTGTTATGACCTTTATGATTTTCTATTTATGAACTAAGCCTCATAGCCAATCTTGTTATTTAAAAGCAATTTCATGCTTGCACATTTACTTCAGGTGAGCCATTCCAATCATTTGAATTCCGGACCCAACCGTGACTTGTCGAAGAAATGTACCCATGCTCGTGGTTCTGCCTGTGTATTAATGGTAAGCTATGAGGAAAAATTTGCTGATCTTCAGCAAGTATGCACAAGAATCCATACTCATAAACACGTGATATCCGCACTTAATACTTTTAATTTATAGTCATAAAAAATTGGTTTAATTAATCCTTTATAAGGCACGCACATTTTTAAGTTCAATGTTTGTGCATCGCAAAAGGCCAACTGCAGACCAAGACTAACACAGATCAATAAATCACTTACCAATATTTGGAGTTGGATTAATCTTTTGTAGCTTTTTTATAGGATGAAGATGAAGCAGATGTAGACGTGGAATTTGCAAGCGGCGGAGATTTGGAGAAAGTATCTATAAGCCCAAGTTCCTGTACACCAACAAGCAAGGAGAACGGAAGCATTAAAGAAACACCTAAAAGTTCAAAAAAGGTTTGTGCCTTTTTATATCTTGTAGTGATAACCAATCTCTATACTCCCACAGAATAGAATTTAAATTCTAGGAAGTGGAATTGAGTTGTAAAATAAAATTCAGTCAATTACTTGTATCTCTTCATGAGATCCCCTCCCTCCCCCCCTTGACCATTGTTAGATAAACATGCTAATTAGAATAAGAAAGATGGTCAGTTCTGAGCGCGGTAAGAAAAAGAGAAAGTTTTATTTTTCGGTTTGTGATGAGCTTGGAACAAAGAAAAAATTTTGTTTGCCAAAGTGGAATTGAACCTAGGGATTTCATGCCCCGATGCTCACCACTGATCAAGCCACAGAGACTCTATGGTGAGCAAGACCCATTACAAAGTTCATTTAAGACACATTCTGCATACTGCTAGGATCAGCGAGCTATAGAAGTAAAGCATTGATTGGTCATTTTACAGACATTTAGGTGCAATGCTTTAAATGATGAATTTCTTGTATTTTCCTGCTGAACAATGCTGTGTTCAAGGTAATATGTCAGCTGGGGGTGAATTTTTTTTTTTTTACTTAGGAATCCTTGCTTTCAGGCATAGATTGATTCTTTCATTGACTGATCAGTTCTTTCTCAAATTATCAATTTCACATTTTCCTTGCTCTAAAATACAGTGATCAAGGTATATGCCAGAGGTGCAAAGCCTTTTTGCTGAGCAATCCTCACTGTTAGGCAATGATTTATCATTTTACAGCACATGTAGGTGCAATGCTTGAAAAATTTTTTCTTTGCTCTACAATACTGTGATCAAGGTATATGCCAGGGGTGCAAAGCTTTTTTGTTAAGGAATCCTCACTGTTAGACATTGATTTATCATTTTACAGCATATGTACAGTGTAGGTGCAATGCTTAAAACATGTTTTTTTCTATGCTCTACAATGCTGTGATAAAGGTATATGCCAGAGGTGCTAAGCTATTTTGCTAAAGAATCCTCACTGTTAGACATTGATTGATTTTTATTTTTCAGTGATGCAGTTTTTTTCACATGTATAAAGGTGCCAAGGTGCTAAGCTTTTTGCTAAAGAATCCTCACTGTTAGGCATGATTGATTTTTTTTACAGCACAGGTTGGTGCAAATTGCCTGAAACAATACTGTGATCAAGGTATTTTACAGCACATGTAGGTGCAATGATTGAAATAGTTTTTCTTTTATCTAAAATACTGTCATCAAGGTGTACACCAGAGGTGCTAAGCTTTTTTGCTAAGCAATCCTCACTGTTAGGCATTGATTGATAATTTTTACAGCACAGGTTGGTGCAAATTGCCTGAAACATATTTTTCTTTTTGCTCTACAATACTGTGATCAAGGTATATGCCAGACATGCAAGGCTATTTTGCCAAGGAATCCTCACTGTTAGGCATTGATTGATTATTTTACAGCACATGTAGGTGCAATGCTTGAAACATAATATTATTTTTTCTTTGCTCTACAATACTGTGACAAAGGTATCTGCCAGAGGTGCTAAGCTTTTTTGCTAAGGAATCCTCACTTTTAAGCATCAATTGATCATTTTACAGCACATGTAGGTGCAATGCTTGAAATATATTTTTCAAAATGATTAATCATAGATATCAAACTTTGAGGGATTTCATGTCTCATTGAAGCAAGTTAAATGTATAAGTGAACGAAATGAGCTATTAGCAACTTTCAGTTGTAGGGGATAGCCACAGAAACAAAGTTGTGTTAGGCCTGGGAAGGTTTGGTGTTTGCAAGTTTACATGTATGTCTTTTCCAGTGCAGTCAAGTACTATAGTGAATCAACTACTAAAGAAACTGTTGCTGTCGAAGCTTGTATTTTATCACACATTTCTCACAAAGCATTTCCCTTCCTTTGGTGTAGTTTTTAGAGAACTACTTAACTGCTTGTATGAGAGGTTTGTGGAATTAACCCTTTACCTCCAACATCAAATTTGTAATTCTCCTTACTGTCAACCATACAATTCTTAGAATGGTAATTCAGAGAATTTAGTATTTGATCAACTAATTATCCCCAAATTGATATTTTTCTTTATTCTCATCACCTATCTGGTTGATATTGTATTTGTATTGTAAGGAGAAATTTTGTATTGGTCACTCATGGGAGTTAAAGGGTTAAGGAAGGGATCAAACATTCATTTACCATTTTTAGAGCTCTTTAGTCAGAGAGTGTATGTGTTGAAAAATCATGGTTAGGCATTTTAATGCAATGTAGTCAGGGATTCTTTTATCTTCATGGAGTAGGGATTGTCCACAATGACAAAAAGGAGATAATGTATTGATTTCAGAGGTGAATAGGGGTGATTGGCAGCCAAAATAATAGACTTCAATGAGGCATGTGAAGTTAGGAAAACCAAGGTAGAAGTAATTCCTTCTGGATCAGAAAGAGCTGGACTCAAAACATGACATAAACACATTGATCCTGCTTTGTATGATGGTCTGTATGCCCCTTGGTCAACTTCAGATGTTTATAGCTTTGGTTATATGGCAAGTACAATTGCAAAGACTAAGAAATCAGAACTAATTGATAAATTAAGTCTGACTTGTATGAGCAAATATAAGCAACTAGCATTTGAGACATTGGTGAGGGACCTTCATTCACCCTTTAACTCCCAAGATCTTATTAGTAATTCTCCTTACTGTCTGCCATATAGTTCTAGTGATGTCAGTTTGGAGAATTTGGTATTCAATCAACTAATAATCCTGTAATTAATGTTTTTCCATATTCTCATCTCTTGTCTGCTTGATATTGTATTAATATAATTTAATTAAGTTTTTTGCTCTATTTTCATGACTAATTGCTGTAATTTGTTTTGCTGTTTTTATTCTTACAAAACATTTTTGTAAGAGTTCCAATACTTGTGGATCATCCACACACTTTGCAAACATTTGGCATGCAGACAAGACAGAGGTAATCAATGTTCCCTTTGAGAAAAAACACCTTTTAAATGACGTCTTCAATTTACTTTATTTGAAACTCTGATCTGAAAATATTTGTCAACAAGACTTGTTAGTTGTGAGAAGTACAAACCAAGTTTCCTTTCATAACTTAATTTCTTAAATGTCCCAATCACTGGATCTCCCAAAAAATATTACATCTTTTTATTTTTGGTGCAAATTACAAGTCCTTCTTTATATAAAAATGAAAAGTGCTAGTCACACTTCAATAATAACAGCTCTTAAGTTTACTTGTTGTTCTTCTCTGTCTGTCAGCTATCAACAAAATTGTTTTATACTTCGGGTAGTGCATAACTATTTGTGGACCAGAGTTCCAACGTACCTCTGTAATCGCATATAGCTACTTCTGTCTCTTGTACAAATGTTTCTCCTTTGTAAGACGCACTCTACTCTGTTGTCAATACTGCTTTCAGTTCAGTGGAAACGACTGACTGAGGAATCGAGATGGCGGTGTTGGAACGTGTTGCTGAACGCTTACTACGGTCAAGCTTTGTAGATTTTGGTACTGGGATCATCTATATATCTCTTATACTTCCTAATGTGGTATCCTTCTTTTATAAATATGAGGGTAAAAGACGATTTGTAGTCGCATTCAAAACTGTGATTGGCTTGTGTTATTTCTCACCTTTGCCATTAACACAACTCAAGTGAGTTTCGAGTCTTTGTTTCCTCGACAACTTTCGGCCACAAATCGTGCATTTGTAATACGATCGATTCTTGTCGATTATTTCTACATAGAGTGAGCTCACATCTTTATTTATATCACCAAGGTATCCATCTTCTAGAAGCAGAGAACCGGTCGGAGAAGTCAGAATGAAGTTGTAACAATCGGCAAGCCAGCGGATTCACTTTGCTAGCCAATGACAAGTCCTAAAAGATCCACGTGATCATGCCCGTGATCGGAAACAAAGAAGACTCCATTTGGCGGTCATCTTTGAATGTACTTTTCATCGGTTGATCGCTTTTCTCAACTGTTTTGCTTAATATAACATTTCTAAAGATAGCTTTTATTGTGGTTCAATGGGAAAACGAGAATAGCGTGAGTGTTGTAAAAGAAAAGAAAGTCGTTGGCGCCGTGGAGTTAAAAGAAGGGACAACAGTTGACATATTGACTGGTACAAACAAGGGTCGAGTGGCCATCTGTAAAGCTACGATTTTGAAAGTTTGTGGTGAGTAAAAATTGCGATATTCGTTACGTGCTTAAAATCTTATAAAAGAATAGATGTAGCGGGTTGAATTAAGCTTACATAACGCTCGGCGCAACTGAAACTAGAATAATTCTGAGAATCGAATCGGTCACTTGCATGCCGCAGTTTCTTAAGCTTATGCTTTACAATGAAATAAACCTATCAGTAAGGTTTCAAGATTCCTCTAGTCACGTTTGGGAACATTCAAGATTCATAATAGGAACTGTTATTAAACAAACCTTGGTACATAAAGAAGCCCTCCTTGGTAAAAACAAAATAATGTATTCTGCCCATTTTTAGTAAAATCCATGAGAGAGATGTACTATAAAAGTCACTCAATATAACAGAGATTTCTCAATTTGAGAATCCAATGAATGCCCTTTTCCTCATAGCCATCTTAAAAGCCTGGTCTGAGCTTTAAATATACATATTTTAATTTTTTTTTTTTCAAATTCAGATGTCAAGGAATCCAGATACAAAATGGTCAAGGTTCTTGTAGAATACCTCATTCAAGGCCAACTCATTGTGAGCCCAGGAAAAAAAAATACAAACAGTACAAACAGCAGCTAAGTTTGCAGTTTAGGATAACTTCATTCTAATTTATTGTTACAGTTACAACAAGATTTTAATCAAAAAATCAATTTTATTTGTCTGTAATTAGCCCCTTCACTCCCAAGAGTGCTTGGTTTTCAAATATAACTTAAGATATTGTATTTTATGGAAACGAATCAACAGATTTTATTCACAATTTGTGTCAAACCAAATTTAATGATTGATTAGAACTATTTTACATGAATAGCTATAATTGAGGATTAATCCGTATGAAGTTTTAATCAAAAATATTTTACATGTAAGCCTTAATTAAGCTTCAAAATAAATTTCATTGAACTTGAATTTTAGCTGGGTTTTTTTAATTTAAAGTATTTATTTTATATCATTAGCCTCAAATTTTTGCTTAAAATTCCCAGTAATTCTTAAACATTCCTAAAAATTCCCAAAAATTCCCAGAAATTCCTAGGAATTTTTTAGATTTACAGCTTTTCAGGGAAAGTCATTGGTTCTCTGAGTTGGAATTCCTAGGAATTCCTAGGAATTCCAAGTCCTGTTGGCTATAAACTTGGAATTTCTGGGAATTTCTGGGAATTTCTAGGAATTTCCAGGTTTTTAGAACCAGAGTTGTTATGGTTGGGAATTCCTAGGAAAATCCTAGGAATTCCTAGGAATTCCAAAAGCCATTTCGCAAGCGATGCTATTGACTGCATGTAGCTTCACTTTTAATGCCTAGCTGTGTTGTCACACATTTTCCTTGGCCGCAAGGTACAAAACAAAAATACCTATCAATCATGAACTTGCCAATGTATACAGTTG